TGTCTTTGGAGTAGCTCACACATTTGGGAAAATTTGGGCAGAATGGGGTCTTATTAATAGTAAGGGCCAAAACCTGGCTCATGAGACATTAATTGTTCATGTTTTAAACAACCTCCAGCTTCCAGAGGAAATAGCAATTGTACCTGTGTCAGGACATTAAAAAGACTTCTCCTTTGAGGGGCAGGGAAATAACCTTGCAGAAAGAGAAGTCCTCTTCCACTTATATCAAGGAACTCACTGGGAGCCTGAAGTTATATGTAACACAGTTCTCAGAGTTTATGGTTGTATTGGAATTTATACTTCAGCTAGACGTCACAGATAGTTGTTTAATAAGTACAAAGATGAATAAACAGGCCTTGAGGAAATTACCCCTTGGTGGAAAAATCCAGGATTAAGACCATTTCAAAGTGTTCAATTTGATTGTACTGAAATGCCCCAAATCAGTGTGCTAAATATTTATTAATAGTAGACCATTTTACTCATCGGGTAGAGGCTGTCCCTTTCTCGAGTGCAACTGCTAGCGATGTGGTTAAAGCATTACTTGAACAGATCATACCTAAGTCTGTGCCAATAGAAAATATTGATTCAGACAATGGAACCTATTTTACTGCACTTGTCATTAAAATGTTGGCTCAAGTATTACACATAAAATGGGAATATCATATTCCTTGACATTCATCTTCCTTAAGAGGAGTAGAGAGGATGAACCAAACTCTCAAAAGTCACCTAACTAAATTAGTCCTAGAAAGTCGGTTACCCTGAAATAAATGCCTTCCCATTGCACTGTTAAGAAATCAGAACCGCCCCTCAGAAAGACGTTGGCCTGTTGCCTTATGAAATGTACGGGCTGCCCTACTTACATTCCACCACTGTCCTTCCTACATTTGAAAAAAAAAGATCGGTTTCTCATAAATTACATATTTGGTCTCTCCTCTATCTTTTCTTCTAAAACCAGAGGCCTTCTAGCCCAGGCACCACCCCTGGAATTCCTGGTGCACCAACACCAAACTGGAGACCACGTTTTCTTTTTCTTTTCTTTTATTTATTTATTTATTTATTTATTTTTTGCTTTTTCCTGAGACAGAGTCTTGCTCTGCCGCCCAGGCTAGAGTGCAGTGGTGCCACCTCGGCTCACTGCAACCTCCGTCTCTTGGGTTCAAGTGATTCTCCTGCCTCAGCCTCCTGAGTAGCTGGGATTACAGGTGTGTGCCACTGTGCCCAGATAATTTTTGTATTTTTAGTAGAGACAGGGTTTCAACATCTTGGCCAGGCTGGCCTCGAACTCCTTGTGAGCCACCCGCCTCAGTCTCCCAAAGTGCTGTGATTACAGGCATGAGCCCGGCCTATTGTGTTACTTTTTCCTATCGAATGGTTAGCTATTCCATCATTAATGTAACCAGATCAAGCTCTCCCCAAATTATTACTTTTGATGCTGGTTTAGTCATGCCCTGCAGTAATTTACAGAACCAGACAACCTACTGCTTCTGAGAAATATCTCTGCCCTTCCTGGACCTCCTGAGATTGGAAGGATATATTGGATTCTTGCACAGATCATAATCCCGAGAGTAGCAGTTGTGTTAGCTGGTGGGAATGGGATTCTTGTCCTTCCTGAACAGATTCCCTCTGTTATACTTGGTCCAATGTCCTATGGAGCACTAAATGTCTTGGTTGGACTGTTCCCACAAGTCTTTGCCAGTCCTTAAGACCATTTGTTCATTTCACCAAAGGGGTCGCTCTTCCCAATTGTTGATACAACCAATGTAGTCCTGTGCAGCTTACTAACACTATTGCAACATTTCAAAATACCTCTCCTTCTTTAGGTTGTATTTATGCTATAGAGGCCAGTGCCTCAGGAAAGGACCTTAGGGGCTTCTTTTAAATACATTTTGTTGCGACTTTCTCCCTTCCTTTGCTCTCCATTGCCTTACTTGTTTAAGAAAGTTTTAAGCTTTTAACCAGTCGGGTTTAGTTTGAATTGTGAGGTCCATCTTCAGCCAATGGAGTCAGTGATAGAAGCCCAATGCATTATGATAAAAGGCCCTTCTCTCCTTGTTCAGTGTGCTCTCATGGCAGTTAGGTTTACAGGCAGCACCCTTCTACAGAGGTAAAATTGCCTTGCTGAGAACTTGTTGGAATGATTGTTTTCTTTGAGACTTCAAACTTTTTCTTCTAACAAACCTTTAACATCTCTATTTTGAAACACTGATCCCATTCATTTGGAGTTGATGTTTCCAGGTGCTATCTTCAAGCTTTGTGTTCACATAAACTCTAATCATATGTTCTAAACTTTATTATTTACTTCTAACATCAGTTTCTATCAGAATGTAGGAGACTTACCAGAGAGGGCGACTATTACCATGTTGTGAAACTCATGTCTCAAAAAAAAAAAATTGGTTTGGATTTTTCCCTTTCCCTCTGGATGAAGCTAATGAGCTGACACACATGGTCACCTCCATTACCAAGTAGAGCCAGGATGAACATGTGTGACCAAGGGTGCTGTTAAGTCCTCTTACCTGAAGACTGATTAGTGTTCATCTGGATAACATGTACTTAATGGGTTGTGTAGAACAGTGAAGCTTCTTTCCCTCTTTTCAGTCTCTTAGCTGTTTGCCTGTATTAGCCATCACATTCTGGTCTAAGGCTTACCTATTAATAATTATCTCTATTGTGGAGATGATTTCTCATTTTGGGGAAGATATTTTTGTTTTCAATTATATTGTCTCAACATTCAAAAAGTGAAGAAAAGAGTATTTCTTGGGTCAGGCATGGTGGCTCACGCCTATAATCTCAGCACTTTTCAAGTCTGACGCAGGCAGATCACTTGAAGTCAGGAATTCTACACCAGCTTGGCCAACATGGTGAAACCTTGTCTTTACCAAAAATACAAAAATTAGCCAGGCATGGTGGCATGCACCTGTAATACCAGCTACTCCAAAAGCTGAGGTAGGAAAATTGCTTCCAGCAGGGAGGCAGAGGTTGCAGCGAGCCAAGGTCGTGCCACTTCACTCCACGCTGGGCAACAGAGTGAGACTCCATCTCAGAAAAATAGAAAAGAAAAGAAGAAAGTAAATTAAAAAAAGATTTATTTACACAGGCAAGAAAGAAAAAGTAAAAGATCTATTCCACAAGTTTGCTGAGACAACTGGATATCCACACGGAAAAGAATAATGTTGAATCCTTATATCACACCATTAAACATTTTATTTTTAAAAGTCAAAAAATAAGGAGAGAGAGAAGAGAAATAGAGTGAGGCGGAAGGGGATGTTACTGTGTCGTCCAGGCTTGTCTGGACACCCAGGCTGAGCGTTTCTCCCGCCGATGCTTCCAGAGTAGCTGAGACCTCAGGCTCCGGCCCTCGCGCCCGTATCCCCGCTGTGTTCAAGCAGCAGGCGGTGACCTCACTCCTCCCGGGCCTGAGCACGCCTCCTGCATCCCAGGCGGTGGCCTTAGGGAAGTCTCCGAAGCTGAGCACAGGGTGGACTCTCCCTCTTGAGTGATTGGGGAATAGAAAGGGTGAGGATTTCTATTCTGTTCTGTGGGCTGTTAGCATGAACTTGTACCTTCCGCTTAGGCAGAGCTTTGCATTTCACATTCTAGTTTGCATCTCCGTTGCAGACAATACCAGGGTTTTGAATTATCCCACGGGCTTCCTGGCAAATCTGGCCTTCCAAACTTGAAAAAAAGAGGCGCTGAGAGCGAGGCTGAGAAACCGACAGGTGTCGGCCGGCCCCGCCCTCTCCCAGTTCTGAAGGGCAAGTTCTCTCCTCCAAGCGCCCCGCTCCTACCTCGCCCAGGTCCTGCCCACCTCCCCTCGGGGCCGCCCAGGCCCCGCCTCTACGTCACACAGGCCCCGCCCACCCATCGGCCCGCCGAGGATCCGCCCACCTCCCACTGCGGCCTACCAGGCCCCGCCCTCCTCCCCTCGCACAGCCCAGGCCCCGCCCGCCTCCCCTCGGGCCTGCCAGGCCCCGCCCTCCTCCCCTCATACAGCCCAGGCCCCGCCCACCCCCCCATGGACCTCCCAGGCCCCGCCCTCCTCCCCTCGCACCGCCCAGGCCCCGCCCTCCTCCCCTCGCACCGCCCAGGCCCCGCCCTCCTCCTCTCGCACCGCCCAGGCCCCGCCCGCCTCCCCTCGGGGCCGCCCAGGCCTGGCTTCTGTCCTGCGCACGCACATTTCGTGCAAACTTGGAAGCGGATCGCGTGGAGGGAGTGTCCCATCGTGGCTCGTGAGTTTCAGTCTGTCTTGAATTAAGTCTCCGTTTCCCAGGTCCCCGGCGCTTCTATACGTGGGTCGTCGGGTCCCCACAAACCTGGAAATTCTCGCCCATCTTTCTTCACCCAGAGGAAATTGAGACGTTTCCATGAGAGTCCGGGGGTTGCTTCCTTTTGGGTTTAAAGTCGCCCTCGCTGGTCCCGTCCCCAGTTTTTCTGTTATACGGCACTGTGTAAATTTCCTATCGCGTAGTTCTCCTGCTCGAAACCTTTTTCTGACTCCTCCCGCCCCGCGCTTTTTGAAGTCCTCACCTGAGGGGTGGATTCCCGTCCTGGACGCCTCCCAGCCTCGCCTTCCTCGGTCCCCTGAGGGCAGCACCTCGGCCCCAGTCCCGGGGAGGCCGCGACCTCTGCCTGGTCCTGGGATCCTGCAGACCCCAACCTTTCCTAAGGCGCCGTCCCCAGACCTCCGTTCTCGTGAGGGTGTTAAAACGCGCTCTTTGAATGAAGAGACGCCCGGAACAGGCTTTGTGTGAGAAACACGGCTGTTTATTCACCTGGGGGCAGTTGGGCTAAGGCCGAAAAGGGCCTTAATGAAGGGCGATGGGAGAGGAGTTGGTTTTATAGGTTGAGGCAAATCTTTTTTTTTTATTTAATTTTTTAAAGACAGGGTTTCACCATGTTGGTCAGGCTGGTCTTGAACTCCCGACCTCAGGTGATCCTCCCGCCTTGGCCTCCAAAGTGCTTGGATTACAGGCATGAGCCACCACGCCCGGCCAGGTTGAGGCAAATCTTTTGGGGAGGGGACAGGGGTCTTACGGAGTAAAATCAGTTACAGTGGCGGGGGTAGGGGCAAGGAATATACATTACCATTTGTTAAGTTACAATGGCGGTGGGGTAAGGCGGAAGAGTAGTTAAGATGGTAGGGTGGAGGCCGGGCGCGGTGGCTCACGCCTGTAATCCCAGCTCTTTGTGAGGCCCAGGCGGGTGGATCACGAGGTCAAGAGATCGAGACCATCCTGGTCAACATGATGAAACCCCGTCTCTACTAAAACTACAAAAAATCAGCTGGGCACGGTGGCGCGTGCCTGTAATCCCAGCTACTCAGGAGGCTGAGGCGGAGGTTGCGGTGAGCCGAGATCGTGCCATTGCACTCCAGCCTGGGTAACAAGAGCGAGACTCCGTCTCAAAAAAAAAAAAAAAAAAGATGGTAGGGTGGGTTGGAGAGATATTCGCATTATCATAATAACAGTTAAGATGGCAGGGCGGGGTGAGGAGTAGTCACATTATCATAATAACAGTTAAGATGGCAGGGTGGGGTGAGCCATCTTAACGGGGGAAGCTCGGCTGGGCTATCAGGGATAATGGCGAACCCAGGCGGCGGATCAGCCAGCCAAGGCAGGCAGGATTTCTGACCTTCTGGGTCCGGGCTTGCACATGGAGGCCTGACAGAGGGGCCCTGCTGTTCCCCAGGTCTCCCCTCCGCAGTCATCTCTTACCCTGAGCCCGAGTTGGGGAGGTGCCCGGGGCCTTTCGTGTGACACGGGATGTTCTGCCAGCCCAGCTCCAGCCCCTATAAAAAGGCACTTCTCCAGATGCAGGCGTCTTGCTCCAAACCCTCCTGTGGTTGTGTGGGCCAAAGACATCAGGAGACAGACAGAGAGCATTAGAAAACCTGAGATAGAGAAAACAAGAATGAGGAAGACCCATAACAGATGGCAAAGTAGAAGATGGGTGAGGGTTTTGCCAAGAGACAGCAAAAGTGAAAAAAAAAAGAGCAGGAGGGGAAAAGCAACTGGAGAAATGTAGAGAAAAGCAAGATGTACAGAGAGACGAAGGACAGCAAGGTAGGGATGGGGCAGCAAAGAGGAAGGCCCAGGAGAGTGAGGGAGACGAGGAGGGATTTGGAGCCCGGGCAGACAGAGCAGAGGACGCTGATGGCAAGGAGAATAGAGGGAACCACAGCACAGAGGACCTGGCACCTGGGGATGCGGGGTGCCAGTGGCGACAAGGAGGTATAACAGGGAGGAGAAAACTTAACAGGGAGCTCAGAGGAGGTGCAGAGATGAGATAAGAGGCAGAAATATGTAAAGATTGGAGAAAAGGAGCAGCAAGAAGTTAAATAAGTTGTGAGGATGGAGCAGAAGAGGCGGAAGAGAAGGAATAGAGGGAAGAAGGGGTTAAACAGCAGGAGAGGAGAGGGGGACAAAGTGAGGAGCAGAATCCGAGGGAGAAAGAAACAAGAGCTAGAGAGAGAAGGGGGAATAAGAGATGTACAGAATTAGGGAGGGAAATAGTATAAAGAGGGGCTGGGCGCAGTGGCTCCTGCCTGTAATCCTCGCACTTTAGGAGACTGAGGCAAGGGGATTTCTTGAATGCAGGAGTTCGAGACCAGCCTGGGCAACGTAGTGAGACCTGAACCTCTGACACACACACACACACACACACACACACACACACACACACACACTGCACATGATGGTGCACACCTGTACTCCCAGCTACTACTCTGCAGGCTGAGGCAAGAGAATCACTTGAGCCCAGGAGATCTAGGTTGCAGGGAGCCAAGATCATGCCATTGCACTGCAGCCTGGTCAACAGAGCTAGACGCTGTCTCAGAAGAAAAAAAGGGGTAGAGGATTTTGGGTTGAGGTGAGTGGATGAATTAATTGGATATGATTAGTTGTGACATGTTGACTTCATAAGCTATATTATCTAATAACTTAGGACTTTAAAAAGTTATACAGATGAGATTGAGAATTTAAAAATTCCTATCTGTAGACAAAAGCAAAAAAACAAAAAACGAATAAAAAAGATAAAAAACAAACAAAAAAAAAGAAATAAAGAAAGGAAAATAAAAAAAAAAAGAAAAAAAAATTCCTATCTGTAAGACATGTTCATTCTGTAAATCTTGGCATCACAGGTTAGTTAGCTTCCAGTTGGAATCCCTATTTAGCCAGAGGACAGTGACTTATTCAGTTGTGAGTCACTCTCTTCCCTTTTCCCAGGGTGGGGTAGGAAGTGGGGCAGTGAAGTGTGAAAAAAAATCACTTTCTGGGCTAGGCACCCTGTCTCATGCTTGTAATCCCAGCACTTTGGGAGGCTGAGGTGGGTGGATTACCTGAGATTCGGAGTTCAAAACCAGCCTGATGAACATGGAGAAAACCTGTTTCCACTAAAAATACAAAATTTCCCGGGCATGGTAGCACATACCTGTAATTCCAGCTACTTGGGAGGCTGACGCAGGAGAATCGGTTGAACCTGAGAAGTGGAGGTTTTGGTGAACAGAGGTCACACCATTGCACTCCAGGCTGGGCAACAAGAGTGAAACTTGGTCTCAGAAAACAAAACAAAAGAAAACAAAAATTCCTTTCTGTGATTATATAATACTTATAATTTAATTAATTAATTGCTATATTGAGACAGGGTGTGGTTCTATGGCACAGGCTGCAGTGCAGTGGGTGATCTCCTCTAACTGCAGCCTCCACCTGGTAGGCTCAAGTGATCCTCCTAACTCAGCCTCCGGAGTATGTGAAACCACAGGCATGAGCCACCAAGCCTGACTACTTTTTGGGTTGTTTTTTTTTTTTGAAATGGGATATCACTGTTTCCCAGGCTGGCCTCAATGTCTTAAGCTCAAAGGATCCTCCTGTCTTGGCCTCTCAAAGTACTGGGATTGCAGCTGGGATTACAGGGATGAGTCACTGCACCTGGCCTACATAGCAGTTTTTTTTTTCTGAGTCGGAGATTTGCTCCTGTTGCCCAGGGTGAATGATGTCCACTCGCTGCGACCTCCACTTCCTGGGTTCAAGCGATTCTCTTGCCTCAGCCTTCCAAGTAGCTGGGATTACAGGCATAGGCCACTGCACCTGGCTCAGTTTGTATATTTAGTATAGAGACGGGGTTTCTCCATGTTGGTCAGGCTGGTCTCAAACTCCTGACCTCAGGTCATCTGCCCACCTTGGCCTCCCAAAGTGCTGGGATTACAGCCATGAGTCACCACGCCTGGCTCATAGTAATTTTTAAAAGGGACATCAGAGCTGATGATACCCTCATGGCTACAGGGCGTGGTGGCATGCACTTGTAGTTCTAGGTACTCGGGAGGCGGAGGTACAAGAATCACTTGAATTTGAAAGGTAGGGGTTGTCATGAGCCAAAATCGTGCCACTGCACTGCAGCCTGTTCGGCAGAGCAAAATTTCATCTCATTAAAAGAAACAGTGAAAAAAAACCAAAAAAAAAAAAAAAAAGAGTCAGGGTGCGGTGACTCAAGCCTGTAACCCTAACACTTTGTGAGGCTGAGGTGGGCAGATCACCTGAGTTCAGGAGCTCGAGACCAGTGTGGCCAACATGGTAAAACACTGTCTCTTGTAAAAATACAAAAATGATCTGTGGGTGGTGGCATGCGCCTTTAATCCCAGCTACCTGGGAGGCTAAGGCTGCAGTGAGCCGAGATCGTGCCACTGCACTACAGCCTGGACAGAGCTAGACTTTATCTCAAAAAAGAAAAAAAAAGATACATCAAAAGTGCTTTTGTTCTCCTTGTGCAATATGTATTTTTTCTTTCTGATACTTCTTCATTTCTTTTACTTTACTATTATTATTTTTTGCAGTTTGAATTTGAGATAAGTTTTAGTTTTAAAAATTTCTTTTTAGGCCGGGCGCGGTGGCTCAAGCCTGTAATCCCAGCACTTTGGGAGGCCAAGGCGGGTGGATCATGAGGTCAAGAGATCGAGACCATCCTGGTCAACATGGTGAAACCCCGTCTCTACTAAAAATACAAAAAATTAGCTGGGCATGGTGGCGCATGCCTGTAGTCCCAGCTGCTTGGGAGGCTGAGGCAGGAGAATTGCCTGAACCCTGGAGGCGGAGGTTGTGGTGAGCCGAGATCGCGCCATTGCGCTCCAGCCTGGGTAACAAGAGGGAAACTCTTTCTCAAAAAAAAAAATAAATAAAAAAAATTTCTTTTTTACTGCATAATCACTTCTGAAAGACGCCTTTGTGGCGTCCTATAACCAAATCACATCATTTCCTTCTGTACATGTTTATGTTCCAGTTATTTTCCTGTTGACCCCAGATTTAGTTAGTTAACTAGTTAGTTAGTTTGTTTTTTGAAATGGAGTCTCGCTTAGTCACCCAGGCTGGAGTGCAGTGGCACAACCTCCCCTTACTGCAACCTCCACCTCCCGGGTTCAAGCTATTCTGTCTCAGTCGTCTGAGTAGCTGGGATTATAGGCACACACCACCATGCTAATTTTTATATTTTTAGGTTTCACCATGGTCTCAACCATGAACTGGTCTCAACCTCTTGAACTCGCAATCTGCCCACTTCGGTTTCCCAAAGTGCTGTGATTACAGGCACGAGCCACCGTGCCCGTCCTTAGATATTTTAAAAAACAATTTAGGCCAGGTGCGGTGGCTCACATTACCTGACGTCAGGAGTTTGAGACCAGTCTGACCAACATGGTGAAACCCTATGTCAAAAAAAAACGTAAAAACAATTTAAAGATAGTTTCTAGCCAGTGCTGTGGCTTATGCCTGTAATCCCAACACTTTGGGAGGTCAAGGCGTGTGGATCACGAGGTCAGAAGTTCGAGACCAGCCTTGCCAACATGGTGAAACCCCGTCTCTACTAAAAATACAAAATTAGCTCAGCATGGTGGTGTGTGCCTGTAATCCCAGCTACTCAGGAGGCAGTGGTTGCAATGAGCCAAGATCAAGCCACTACACTCCAGCCTAGGCTACAGAGCCAGACTCCATCTCCAAAAAAAAATAATTTCTGTTTGAAGTTAGTTGTGTCTGGTTTAGATCAAGGTCTGCATGCTTTCTAGTCTTTATTATTTAATGGAAACCTTTGGTACCTAATACTTAAGTTTGATTGTTTCAGTGTGTACTTGGTAAAGATGTCAATGACATCTTAACATCAAAATGTAGTTTACCCACTTAGTCTATTTTTCAGTTTTCTTTCCTTATGTCATTTCTTTCCTATTTTCTTTCTTTCCTTATGTCATTCCTTTTTTTTTTTGCTATAAAAATGTTTTATTAGGCCAAACTACTTACTATGAAAATGCTTTAAAATGTAGTAGGAGGAGATGTAAAGACTCAAAGAAGTGTGTAGTGACAATGGCTATCAGAACACACTAAAGAATCCACACTGCTTCCCCCTTTACCTAGAAAAGGAAGCTTCTAGGCTACCTCCTCCTCCTCAGCACATAAGGAAAGAAAACTGAATGGAAAATCTCAAGCTGTGAGCTCTTAAGTTCATGTTTCCCTCCAGGCCCTCTGGTTCATTCTGGAGATATGTTGAAAGATTCTTTGTTGTTGTGGGAGAAAAATGTTTGAAGACTTGGTCCCTGCCTGATCTGGGTCCCCGGGGCCTCTCTGACCTCATCTCCTGCCTGTGTCCTTGCTCCCTCTGCCCCAGCCACGCAGGCCTCTTTCCTGTTCCTGGGGCCGAGGTTGCACCTGCAACGGTGTGATCTCAAGGCCTTCACGTGGGCTGTGTCTCTGCTGGAACTCGCTGGCCCCTCAGCTGCAGGTGCAGACACGCCTCCTTCCCCGGTGTCTGTTCTGATATCACCTCTCAGTGGGGACTTCTGTGACCCACCTCCCGATGAGCACTCCAGCCACACCCTCACCCCCACCTCTGGTCCATGTTGGCTGTTCTGCATGCTTCTTTTTGTATTCTTCACCTTCCACTGCCTCAGTACTGATGATCCAAGGCCCCGGGGGAGAGCAGAGCTAGACGGCAGGGCTGCGCTGGGCTTGCCTCTTCC